CCTCCTTCTACCTGCCCCTGGACGCCATCAAGCAGCTCCACATCAGCAGCACGACCACGGTGAGCGAGGTGATCCAGGGGCTCCTCAAGAAGTTCATGGTGGTGGATAACCCCCAGAAGTTTGCACTGTTCAAGGAGATGCGGAAGGACGGGCAAGGTGAGTCCATGCTCGGAGCTTCCTGCGGCCGACTGGGTACAGAGACGCACCCAAAGGCTTCTCACAGGGCTGTGTGTGTCAGGCAGGCTGAAACAGCAACCGACCTGCTTGAGTGAGGTCCATGGCTGGAGCAGCTCTGCTCTGGAGCCAGGCTGAGAGAGCTGGGCTGGGGCAGCCTGGAGAAGAGAAGGCTCCTGAAGGGGAGACCTGAGAGCAGCTCCAGTGCCTAAAGGGGCTGCAGGGAACCTGGAGAGGGGCTTGGGACAAGGGATGTAGGGACAGGCCAAGGGGAATGGCTTGAACCATGAACAGATGGCTGGTCCTCCAGAGGTCCAAGTTAATGGAGAACTCAGTTTTCAGAAGAGGGCTGAAGCCACCTAAGACCTCACAAGGATCATTCCAGATCCATGTTAGAGACTCAGCTACTTCCCCTTTGACCCTGAGCAGCACAAACCACTTTTAGATGCTCCCCTTGACCTCCTGAGCTTTCCCCTGGCCCGGCAGCCCAGGTCTCACTGCTGATGTCTGCTGTCCCCTTGCAGTGCTCCTCCAGAAGCTCCCTCTCACCGAGTACCCCCTGTACCTGCGGCTCCTGGCGGGTCCTGACACTGATGTGCTCAGTTTTGTGCTGAAGGAAAACGAGACAGGGGAAGTCGAGGTACGTTGGTGACTCTTTCCCTTGGTTCTTACACGCACGTTAACTGTGGTGTGGAGAACGTGGCAGCACCGCAGGGCTGAGATGTGCATTATGGGCTTTGCCTTCTGAACTACTGAGGGTGATACCAGCTTCTTTCCTCCAAACTTAGTTTACCAGCTGAGTGGACTGCTTGGACCCTCATTGAAAATAACAATATCAATAAATTTTGGTGATTTCTTGCTCCTAAATTAGGTTAATATTAAAATAAACCTGAAACTTGAGCTGTGAAAATGCTGAGCCAGCTTTGATGGCCAACCCCTAATCTAGTTACAGAACCAAGCAACACCACCCTGGAGTTAATCCTCACAAATCAGATTAGCTAAATGCTGTTAGAAGTAATCCACTGATTCAAGTAGAAGCCAGGGACGCTCTGGTGCTAAATTCACAGTCAGTTTTTGGTTGCAGTCGTGTAGATGCTGCAGGAATGCTGCTTCCCATGGCAGTGCTGAGCAGTATTTGTTAAGCAATCCCAGTCATCATCTGGAGATCATGTTTAAATGTCTTTTATTGCTCCTCTTCACTAATTTAGAGGGGAAAATAACCCCACAAAATCAATGAGGTGAGTGATGTGTGCTTACTTCCCCTCTGTTTCTGCTGGTTTTGCAGTGGGACGCGTTCTCCATCCCAGAGCTTCAGAACTTCTTGATGATACTGGACAAAGAAGAAAAGGACAAAATCCAGCAAGTGCAAAGGAAGTATGAGAAGTTTAAACAGAGACTGCAACAGACCTTGAAAGAAGCCAGAGGGAAGCCTGGATAACCCTTTGGAAGCACTGGGATCAGACTAAGCTAGATAGTACTTTTAAAATGAAAAGACACTTCTCAGGACACCTTATAGTAGTCACCCTCCCTCTTCATCCTCTCCTGAAGTCCTTCAAGTGACCATATTGCATTTTCTCCTTCTGAAAGCTCTTCTCCCAGGGCCAGAGAACGGGGAGCCTGTTTTCAAACCACGCTGCTCAACCAACCAAACACCATCAGAGGAGCTCTGTGGAAGATGCTCCGTGTTGCAACCCAGCAGGAACATCTACTGGCTGATCTCTTGAGCAGGGGCACGCTTGCTGTTAATGCTCCTCCCAGTGACTTGCGTGTCCTCGTGTGGAGGTGCTGAGCTCACTGCGTGTGCCCACGTGGCTGAGTTCTGGTTTCATAAGTAGAGCACAGGAAGCAGGAGGTGGTTGCACCAAACCATGTGGGTGTTGCAGCCATAACCAAGGCTGTTTATGGGCTTGTTCAGGGCTCAGAGAAGCAGGGAAATGTCAAGTTCTGAGCCCAAGGCAGCTGCAACACCCAAAGAGTTGTTAGTACACATTAGTGAAACTTGGTGATCTTAATTCTAGGGAAAAGTCATCTGTTTTGATTCTATTTAACTTCCAGTTGTGAAAACAGATGTGAATGAAAGCACATCCCCCTGATGCTCACGCTAAGTTAGCTGGTGTTTAGCCAGTGTTCTACCCTGTAGGAATTGGAACCTATATTTTAAGACATTCTATTTGGAAGGTGTGAAGATGATGGTTGAGGCTGATGGGTCAGTACTGAACGTTTAGCAATATACATCCACCAGAGCAACCCAGGAAAAGTCAAACCTAACTCCTTTCATAAATCAAACTGATGAACAGGTCTGGCACCGAGGGAGAGGAGCTCCAACCAGGGCCAGGGTGTGGAGGTGGCACCAGGAGCCTTCGCACCAGGAAGAGTAAGAGTAGCCTCAGATGCTTTCTGCCCACCTCTGATATGCTTTATCCCACTGATCCTCCTTGTGCTGCTTTCCCACTACTCCTGTCCACAACACACATGTGCTGTCCTCCTTCCTTCCCTCCTCACGTGCAACTGGTGCTCTGCCTGCATGCCCAGGTTCTGCTCTCTGCGGGGAGCTAGGAGAGGACAGCAAGTGTCTCTCTCCCTTTCTCAGGGCTCCCACCATCTCTGACCCATGCACTTCACAAAGATTCTTGAGCTGGAGCATCAGTTAATGCCTAACTCCAACCAGAGCCCTTGGTCTTACTGATGCTGTGTCTGCAGGACAAGGAAGGCTGTGGGGATGCTGGTCAGAGGATGGTTCCTGTGTTTACTCTGCTCAGTGCTTTGTACTGAGCATGCTGCTCGCAGCCAGGGTCAGTCTTCCCTTGGTTTACACCACAACGTGTAAAGAGAAAAGGGACATTAATACAGGTGGAGCATGTGAAAGGGTTTTGTGTTGGCTTGATGAGCAAGTGTCCCTGCGAGCTCGCTGTAGGCTGCAGTGATCCCACCTGACATGGGAAGGGAGGCAACAAGTTATTGGGTAACAGTGACCACAGAGACCATGTGGAAGAGTCCAAAATTTACCTCAGTGCCTTTTTCTCCCCCCCCTCCCCCCTTAAGTGTAAAATGTTTGCATTTGGGCTAAGGAGGAAGCTGGAAGGGGCTGTTGAGAGGCCTTTTCAGTCCTGTCCCCCTCTGATCCCAAAGTACTGTTGTGATGAGGCTGCTGCTGTCCGCAGAGGGATGAGGTTTTGTTTCTTCCTTGAAGGTGACTGCTTGGGATTCTATTGTTTCCCCTCGGATTTGTGCTTGAGTGTGTTTATAAACCGTAAGAGAGTAACTGCATCACTGAAAGCCCCTTGGTTTGTGTGAATGCCCCTTTCTGCAAGCTTCCTTGCAGCTCATGCTTTAGTCAGTGGTGTAAAAGGGTTTGCTAACAGGGCTCTGGCCTCTGGCACACAGTGCAGGAAGGGCCTCCCAGCTGTACTGTACTCTACACCCAGATGACCTTTAACAATGTGGCAGCAGCCCAACTGGAGCAGCACTTTTCATGCTCTGGGGCTGTTTGTCCATTTAGAAGAATGCTTATTACTTCACTGTGCACTTGTGAAGTAATTTAAATATCATTGATGGAATTTAAATATCATTGATGGAGTGCTTTGAGTTTCAAAGCACTGTATAAATACTTCTGTTCAGTCCAGAGCAAGAACACTGTAAAAACTGCCATTGGTTCTGAGAAGTAAGATCCAGATGCTTGGTTTTAAATCCCTTAAACCTTTCTGGCTAAAAGTTGTAAAGCTTTCCTCTTTTGTTGTTGAGTTTTGGTGACTGTTCCCCTCTCCCTCCCTGGAACCCAGCATGTCTTTGTAGAAGGCATGGCTTCTTATGCAATTACTGTGAATGCTGCTGAAAACCTCCTGCAGGGAGGGCTGTTTCTTTTGGTTTTTCAAGATATGGGGGCACCTGAAGAATCAGTAGATCTGGAAACTCAAACTCTCTGTGTTTAGGATGGACGTATCAGCCCCTGAAGCGCAAACTCCTGTTGGCAGTGCCTTTGGTTTAGCATCTTGTCTTGCCTAGTTGGTGTGAGTTTATTTTTCATGTCTCTTGTAAACCATGTAAAATATTGTGTATAGAATGGACTAGCAAAGCTTCTATGGCAAAGTGAGATGCATTTTGCAATGCTGTAATTTATTTTTACTACTCCCCTAGTAATTCTATGGCATTTTTATTAAAAAATGTCTCACTTCCAGCTTCTTTTGAAGGTTCTGAAACTCCTTGTTCATATGCAGACAGTGTAAAAGACAACGATAATAAAACTGTCAGTAATGAGAGGAGTCTCTTTAACTTCTTTTTCTGGCGCCCTCCTATGGAACTTTCATGTGTTAAGTCTAAAGGGAAAATAGAGGAATCTTTCTTAACCTACTGTGAAGTGCTGAAGCTTCAGCTAAAGAGGTACAGAACATCCACCCCTGTGCAACCTGACCTAGGTGTTCTATTCATCTTCTATTTTATCTAGATTTGACAGACCTGCTACTGTGATAAATCACAGCTGATGTAGTATATTAAAATATGCTTATATGTATATAAAATTAATGCAAACCATAAAAATCCACCTAATGGAGTTCATTCTCAGTGCTAAAGTGTCTGATATTAATACCTGGCAATGTTTAAAAGGCTAAAATCTAAAACCAAATGGGTTTTACTTCTGACATACACCATCTATGGCAGAACACACCAGCCTGTTGCAGGACAATGTGCTGGAATGTACTTTGCTGTCATTTCAGTGGAGGTTCGACTACGACACCATCTTTTAGATGCAAACCAAAGATGTTAAATAGCCAGAAAACCAGTGCGCCATTAGGAACTTCCAGAAAATAGATGGGAAAGGATAATGCCAGGGAGTTTATTCAGTCTTTTATTTTATGAAAAATGAACAGTTGGAGCAGTTATTAATATTGGGGTGAATCTCAGACCTTGTAAACCTCCAGCACTCGTTTCTGAATGATGAGGGCCCCTCCATTAGCCTGGATTTGTTGGCAGAACACTTGTATAAATAATGAGATCTGAGTAATTCTTACAGTAGATTTTCCCTCTTACTTCTTCCGGCCGAGCTTTGGAGCCTTCTCAAGGCCTCGAATGTATTTCCGAGGTAGCTGGTATTCTTCTGCAATACAACCAAGAATTCAGCTAAATACTCAGAGCTCAGACCCAGCCCAGTTCCTGAACCTACTTACCTAGCAGCATCTTGGCCAGATGATGGATTTGGTTGCCTTGGATCTGGACCTGAACTCTGTCTTTTGTTCCTGGTATTGGGGTGATGGTAGCACTAGCTTGTACTTTCTGCTGCAGAATGTTGGCCACACACTGTGGGTCTAGTCCATACAGCTCAAGGTTCTTGATAATTGTCACCTATAGGTTTTAATAATGATTGCAAATATCACTGTATGCAGCAAGTCATGGCTCACCCACACCAAGATAAAGGAGCTGCCAAAGATGTTCTCACACCCTGGGCTTTGCTCAAACCCCCTTATTTTAGCTCTTTTTTACCTTCTTATTTGATGATCTCTGTGCTATGGTTATGTCGATGGGCTCAATGTTTCCTTTCCTCACAATAGGTTCTTGTCCAAAAAATGTCACCTGGTGCAAGGGCTGCAGTCGTTCAAGGCACCTGAACACAGTTTATACAACCAGTTAGTGTACACAGTACAGCAAGGTTGCAGCATAAAATCTTCTTTAATTTTATCTTTAAGCTATTGCTCAGTTGTATTTTTCACAGATGAGTGAAGCAACTTCAGTTTAAAATTCAGCATTAGCTGTGTTACTGTCCCTGGAGCAAGCTTGGCTTCAGAGATGAAGAAAGCTACTGGAGGAGCCTCCATTGTGTGACGAAGAAGCTCAAGGCAAGTAAGACATCGGGGATATGGAGGCAAAGTTTCTCAATGTGTGGGAACAATGGTCTTGTGTCAGATACTAGGGCCTCTGGGATCTAGAATGTGGATTTAGGTCATAAATGCAGAAGTTGTGTGATACATAAAGAGCAGGATGACTACCATTGCCTGCAAAGGGCATGTTCAGCCATCTCTTCCCAAGGATGGCTTTATAAATATGTATATGATCAAACACAGAACCAGGCACTGTTTGATTAGTAAGTTTTCCTTGATTAGTGGTTAGCAGATAAACAGAAAACTAACAACAGTTAATGCTAGATGCTTGCTAAATGGTAAAGATTAAGAAAGTCTCCAAGTGAAGGTCTCTGAGTACTTCTTTCTTGTGTTACCAGCTCCAAGTTAGGTAGCTCCAGTAACACATAGCTTTGAGGCGCATGCAATAGACCTGCATAATACATAAACACCACATTGGGAAAACAGTCACCTGCTCAAGAGGTCATCCCATTTAAGGTGTGAGATTTCATCTTGTTCTGATTTATCTAACAGGCAGTCACACAGAATGGCATTCACTTTTACAAGGCTACAAAACAACAACAGGTATTAGAAGCAAAGTAGTTCATGTTTTAACTCCCACTTCAGCACCTCCTGTGGAAGCAGGGCAGGACAAATTCCATGTCTACTTACTTTTTGTTTGTTTCATCCACCAACTCATTAGCCTTTACATAGTTAATAATGATGTTTCTCACCTCACTGCTTGAGAGGCTGCTGCCTTTTCTAAAGAGAAAGAAAACTTTTTAATTTAAGTTAGGTGTTGGTTTCTGTCACAGAGAAGACAGCAACTACCCTGACTACATTTGGTAGCAACAGCTCAGTACTGAACTACATCAGTTAGGGAGTGATTTCTTGTTACACCTCAGCTGCCATACACCTGATAAAAGGTTCACAGTAATTACAGAGACTTTCAGCCCCTTGCTTCTGGGAGCCTACTTTGGGAGGATGAGCCTAACAGCACCCCTAACTTGAGGGGACTGTGGGTAACTTGTACTGAAGTGCTCAAGCTGAAGAAAGGCTGCTGCTGAGTGCTATCTACACTACGTCAAACAGACAAGGTTAGGAAATAAGAAGGTGAGTTCTTTAAATTATCTGGGCATCCCCTTTTAAGTAAACCATAATGTGGGAGGGTAGAATATGCCTTATCCAATGGCAAATTAATACAATCCAAGTAAAATGTATCAATTTTGACACTTATCACCCCCTTAAGGTGTGGGAGAAGTAATGTGAGTACTCGCTGAAGGCAGCTGTCACAGCCTCTTGCCTGTCTTCCCTTTGTGAAACAATGAATATATTCTTGATTCCCATCACCTTTCCTGACAGCCCTCCCCCTGAGGGCTAATAACATGGTAACAGCATGGATTTGTTAGTATCTCTTCATCTAACAATGGTTTTGTTGGACTTGTCCAGTGCTTACTTGTGTCCAGATTCCTGAAAGAGTGGGATCATTTTTGTTGATACCCCGTAAAGTGGAATGATTTCAGGAGCATGGTACACTTGTTCTCTGTCTTCACTATTGCTGTCATGAGCAGCAGAGGCAGAAGAAAATCCTTCAGGTACTGCAAACGCTTTAACACTGAAACAAGAATTATTTGGTGTAAGGGGATTGAAACTTAACGCTTCCATTTCACTGGAAAGCTAAAACCTAACAATGTATTGTATAGTATGCCAGTGCCCCCAGATGCATTCCACTGTGGGGGGGGGGCAGTGTTTGTGGGTTAAAGGACATGATGAACAGCATTTTGAAGCATTAGCTGCAATCACTGTATTTGTCCTTGTATGTATTTCAAATGTACACATAAGTAAGTGTCTTCACTCGGGTGATATTAAATACTTTTCACTCTGAGTAAAACCCTAGATGCTGTCCAGCTATTCTAAGCATATTTGACTTTGATTCAGAGACTACCAACTTTTTAGGAAACTACGATATTCTACATACTCTGGATGTTTCCAGTCCACTTCCACGATGCTCTCAACACCTTTGTTCAGCTCCTTCACTTGTAAGATCTTCTGGTGCTGCATATATTGCAGGAACTTAGAGAACTAAAGGAAGTAACAATCAGAAATGTGGAGTCAAGCGTTTTAAATCCCTTTTCCATGTCTTTCTGACTGCCTCAAAGTCACTTGCTTTAACCAGCCAGAAAAATCTCACCTTCTTATAGCTTGATTTCTTTATGTCCAATTGTTGTCCAGCAGGGCTATAAATGGAATTTTTAAAAGGTCTTTAGTTACAAGTCACCCTTCGTTTCTTCTTAAATCTTGATACTTATGCTAGAAGTTTCTTAACAGCAGAAATACGAATCACACAGAGAAACAATTACTTCAAACACGCTACTAAATAGAACATGATGAGTGAAACTAGTGCTGACGTTCGTGTGGGTAGGCAAACAGCCATTTAAGTGACTAAGCAATCTAGAAACAAATGTCAGCCAACTCCAGTGAGCTACCAGTGCATATCCTGGTCTGGACCATCTTTACATTAGAGTTAAGAAGTGAGATAACCATAGAGAACGACTGAGTTTTACTTCTGAGTCAAAAACGTCATCCTAAATATTCACACTTCATCTCCACAGTTTGAAAGACAAGAACCCAGCATGCAAATCTTACCACATACCAGCATGAGAACATATGGCTGCGTAGAAATGTGCTGGTGAGCAGAGGAAGATCTGACTTCTTTACTTTGCATTTTAAGGCATGGAAAAAGCACTGATTAAATAATGCATCCATTTGCTCTGCAGGGAGGGGAAAAAAAGGACAAGCAAGCCGTGAGTACTGTGTCTTTCAGAATACAGCACTCAGCTCTTCCAGACTGTCTTTAAGACCCACAGAATTGTCTCTACCCCATTCTCACAGTGACCTGTCCAGAACACACAATAATCTAGACTGCGGGTATGGGCTTCAGCAAACTAAAGGGGCATAATTTGGTTTTATGTGTATGCAAAAATAACCTTGTGGAGTCCTACTGTCTTCAGGTTCCTGCAGGCCCTCTGTACTGCCATCTTCAGCTGTTTCTGCAGCCCTGTTCTCATCGAGCTCCTCCTTTCCCATCAGTATTGCACAACTGTCTCGCTCCTGCAGGCTCAAATCACCAATATTCATCTGCTGCAATGGATCAGTGGATAGGCTGATGACAGGCTCCTTCCCCTCCATCTCTTCATCTTCAGCATTCTCCTTTTCAGCAGAATCTGTTACCAAGGGAGCTAAGGTAGGAGGATTAGATTTGTCACCATATTCCCTATAAAAGGAAGAGAAAACATAACATAGCTTCCTGTGTACTGCTTTGAAACCCATAGGACAATGAACAAATGATAGCCTGATAAAAGGCACTGGCAGCTGCATGGATCTTTTTCTGCATTCTCAAAACTACATATTTTTAACTCCTCTTCCTCCATAATTTCTATGTTCTGCACATGAATGTTAATATAAAACTGAGCAGAGTAGTTGAATCCAAATGCAGAGTGACTCATTTATTTAGTTGACACTGGAAGAGATAACCATTTTTAAGCAAAACAGATTCAAAATTCACTTTTTCTAGAACAAGATGATTTTCTAGTATCAGAATAGCTAACAGAGATGTTCCAGCTTCATGTCTATAATAATTATACTCAGGTTGAAGGAACTGATATACAATGGATAGATGTCAGGACAGGCACCTGCTTCTGTCAGAAAATGGTGGTCACCAAAACCATGGGGCTGAAACATTAATAATGGTCATAAACTGTACCCAGATGACTCAAAATGTTGAACAGACAGATTTAAGCTTCCTGGGGCACAGATTTTGATAAGATTTGTTACATATTTTACCAAATGCCTGGCAATATACCCACCAGAGGTGATCCATGTAAGTGTGCAAGACAGCAAAGCCCTTCCCTTTCATTCCAGCAGCCAGCATCTCTGCAGTGGACATAGTGGCAACTCCAACTGCTACTGGAGCTCTGGGAAAAAGAAGGGAGTATTACAGCAGGGCAGCACAAATACACTGTGCAACTTGGACAGAGACAGCCTGTGCCATTCTGATATGTTGAATTTCTTTTACACTGTCCTTGTTCTTTACAAGCCACTATTTTTAAAGCATCTAGGTATTTTGTGGTTATCTTTCTTGGATGTGGAGTCTTCCAAAGAATCCCAAGGATACATGCAGCTGTGATATTGAACTGAAAGTTGTGCAGTGACACATTCTTTACCTTAACAAAATACAAGAAGCATATGCACTGCCAAAAGAGACTATCATGAGGGAAAACCCCAACAGCTTTAGCACTGTTCCCTCACTCTAAATTTCCTCACTGATGCAAAGACAACTGTGTAGAATACAGTCTTTTGTTTAAAAAGTTATTGTTTCAAAACAGATCTACCACTTGTGCCCCCACAGGTCCAAAAGAACCAATTTTCAAAGCTGTCTACCTGGGCTCAAACGTATCCTAACGCAGAAACTTAAGTGGATTTTATTTTCTGCTCTATTTTCCGGTGTACAGAGCACCAAGCGCATGAGAACCATTCTGCTTTGATTTCCTCAAATTCCCCCAGTCTCCCTGTAAAAGAAATAGCTTCATTTCATGTTTAGATTCTAAGCAAAGACATGAAGAAGGAATCCTCCGTACCTGTTTCCCAAAAGAGTGACAGCACAGAGCGTGCCCCGCTCTACCTGAGGAAAGCCAGAAGGTGGCACTACCACTCCTGGCAGCATCAGATCTGAAGAATAAAGCACATCCATTTCTCAATGAAAGTCCTCCACCCCCATCCCTCCTGTTACTCAGCAAAAAATCCAAGCCTTTTAATAGCTGAGCACATGCCAGCTACAACTACTACTTTCTCCTAGTAAGGCAGCACTTCTTGCTACCACCCTGTGGAGCAAGGGAGATCCCATTCACAAGGCTGCTGGGCACATCCCAAAAACCTGCAGAACAGGGAAGTATGAGATGTGTCTCAAACTACCCATTTATTCACCCCTGTCCCAAGCACAGGTTATCCCAGCAGCTCTCTCCTTAAGGAGAGAATTGCCTAAAATTTGCCAGTACTGCCCCAGCCCTCCTGATCTCACACAATAGCTACACTCAGGTGTGAACTCTCCTCAGCAGGAAGAAGAAGCCTTAACCATCTCCTTGCTAATCTGGACAGAAACACTACAGCTTCTACTGTGCTTCCTGCTTTCATACCTGGGATGAATAGATCGGCATGTAAGTAAACAGTTTTCCTCATTGCACATGTGGCATCACATCATCACAGAACCATACAAAGAGCTTCTGCTCCCTCACAGCAGCTTCAGTTGTCTAGAGCCTGCTGTCTCAGAGACTGACCTGTGTTCCACGGTTTGGTTTTGAAGGCATCTCACTTTTTCTTTCTCAGCATCATAGATTTTATGCCTATGCTGAAGAAGCCAACAATATTTTTCCTCCCATTCACTGTCACAACTACTTTCAGCAAATCTAGAACGAATCCTGCAACTGCAAGCAAGTATCCACATCTCTGAGGGCAGAAATCACACAAAGACCTTAATGTGACAAGGCAAGTCAGATGTATTATGAAACTATCCAGGACAGACAGTAGGTATTTGAATTCACAGAACACATATCACAAATTGCACTACCTTGCTTCTCTTTGTAACTGAATGCTCCCTAAATCTGCTCCCTCCCTTCAGGTCTGCAGCACTGGATAGTCTTTTCTCCTCTCTTTTTTCTGAGATGTGGCTCTACCTCTCCTTTTGTTGGCCATTGTCACTGGACAGCTTATCATCTTTGGATCATATCCAGAGGTGGCCTGGTTTCCATGGGAGATGAATGACCTGCAGCCCTCTTTCATCAACCTCCTTTTCCCATTAGTAAGACTACTCTCCCCTGCCCAGAAACTAGGTCACTGCAAGTCAGCAGCAAGGCTTGCTCTGATGTCTATCATAGCTACACATTCAAGCACTTTATTTCCCCAAAAGCAGAGGGACTCGAGTTCTCCTTTAGATCCTATGTAATGAAAAAATGACTTTTCTTCCCAACATACACTTCTGTTTCCAGACTAAGGCTGCAGCAGCTGCAATTTAATCTTTTTCTGGTTGAGCAGTTCAGCAATTTAAAGTTTATAAAGACCTGATTCTTCTAAAGCTGAAATGCACCCAAAGGAGGTTCCAGAAAATAAACTCCTTTCTTGTTAGTCTTGATCCATAATTAGGTGGTAGAGCCAGAAATCCAGGAATTTAAATTCAACCTCACCTGCACAAGCACAGTTTACTTGACAGTGATTACAACTTCAGGCTCCAATATAAACTTGCTTTTTATCCACAGGATAAGCTAGTTCACCTATGAATTGACAGGAAGCAGGGTGGCAGCAAAGTAACTCAGCTGCTCAAGGGAAATAATAGAAAAGACCAATGACAAAGGCAGTTCTGTGTCCCAGCTCAGCATTGCTCATCACCCTGAGGAGGTATCTCCAGATCTGACACTCCCACATGGAACAGTGCATTTAAACAGCTTAACCTACTTTGTTTCATCCACAAGTTTTTTTACAGCTCATTTAATTTCCCTTTTTAGGTCACCACCATGAATTACTTTTGAGTGCTTATTCTTTATCCTTTTTTGTTTCAAGTTCATTTTTGCCACTGGGAAAGATAACATCAAAAAAGCCCTGAAGGCAACTCCTTTTACCCATGCGCTGTGGCAAAGTTCTAGTCCTCTTACCTGCTCCTCCTGCTAGTTTCTGTAGCACAGGGGGCCATGTCGAGAAAGCAGGGAGAAGATCTGGGTAGAGCCACAGGGTGTACACTGTCCCAAAACAGAACCAGATTCAAAGATACATCATTAAAAACTTCTCCAGCTGTTGCTTCTTCCCATCTTTAAGCAGTACAATACTAACCACAACTAAACACCCCCCTGTTACTTGGGCAATCAAGAAAACTGAAGTCAGAGCGATCCTACAATTAATAGAAGTTATGGAGAAAATTAAACTGCTTGTTAATTCAAGCTCCTGGGAATTATTATAAAGGATATAGACACATTTGCATCGTATTCCTTAAGTCAAGGACACTTCGAGCTAAACTGCTACTCCAGGAGGGGAGAATTGCAGTGGACAAAAGAGAGCAAAGCAGGGTAAAATGCTAAATTATGACTTGAGTCCTAGTTTCTAATCTCAAATCAGATCAATTTCCCTTTGCAAAAAGAATCCAGAAATGCCACTAATTTTGCAAAGGTGTTGCTAGAATAAATGCACTGAAGATTATGAAGTATACTCATATTATAGGGTAAGTACTTAAGACAGATGCAAGGAAATCTTCTGGGGAAAGGCAGGTGCCCAGTAAGTAGAGGGAGGATTTTTCTAGTCCACCCCCCATACCTGTTGGATACAGAGCTTTCTCGATCTCAAACAGTATTGGGTTCTTGTTATTCATGTAAACAGTGACAGCCTCCCCTTTGTGACAGTATATTTTGATGACATTCAGCTCTTCCTTGTTTGGAATAAACTCAGCCAATTGTTCAGCACTAAGGTTAGGAAAAGCTGCTGCAACATCAGCTCGTAGTTTTCTCCTGTAACGATAAAATCACAAACGTGTTACAAAGCAGTCTGGACTCAAACTAACTTGTGGAACAGTCATTACTGTTTTGTTGGTTGCTCATGAGATTCCCACTTTTTCACATAGGATAGTTTGAAGCATTTGTGTTTGGGTTTACAAATGAGATAGCTGGAGTAATGCTGTGAAAAGGCCAAATATGTCCTCTCTGTTCATATTCTACCTTAAAACAGTGAGCAACTGCTCTAGTGGAAGGTGTCCCTGCCTGTGGCAGGGGGCTGGAACTGGATGAGCTTTCAGGTCCCTTCCAACCCAATTCCAGTCTATGATTCTATGACCTGCCAACATCTCCTGCTGCTGTCTTTGCCCCTGTTTTGTGCTGTGATTTCATTACTGCTCTGAGCAGAGATCTGGGAATGCTGGACTTGCTCAGCCTGGCTCTGTCACCTCCAGTATGGAGAAACAGCTGGAATTCTCCCTCCGCCCCCGTTTTAATTGATGTTTAAGAGGAGGTGAGCAGCACAGGGTGGCTTTGTGTGGCCATTCATAGAGATACCAGGTGAAGAGACCAGCAAGTCAGACACTATCACTACACGGAATGCAGAAGGGAAGGCCCAGTTAGGCCTCGACATAATTAACCTAAGTCTCATTTAATTACATTAGCACCTTCTATCGAGGGGTACATTTCGGATTCAGAGCGCCGGTCCGTGTTTACCACAAGCGCAAGCCAACGGCCGCCGCCGCTCTATGGGCGCTGAGCCGCCCCGAGCCGCGGCCATGGCAGGCTGGGCCCACCGAGCACCGGGTCGGGCCTAGCGCGGGAGCCGGGCCTCAGCCGCTCCCGGCAGCGGAGCGCGGCTCCAGGGGTCCCCCCTCGGCACTCACCGATCGGACCCCTTGATGGCGGTGTTGGATCTCACCCGGAACGCCCTGGAGAACATGGCGGGCCCGTGCCCCGCCGGCACCGCGCTCCCCTCAGGCCGCGGCAGCCGCCATGGTCCCGCCGCACTAAAGCGTCCGGGTGGAAACCGCTTCCCCCGCGGGCCGCGCCGAGACCGGACACACCGCTCCCGGGGCCCAAGCGCCCTCCGGAGCCCGCGGGTGCTGCGGGTTCAGCCCTAACGGGGCCTCTTCCCCCCACGCTTGGGCTTTGCTGTGGGGCGTCTCCTGGGGCGGGGGAGCACCGGAGCCGCGCTGAGCGGCAGCGGGACGAGGAGCGGGCGATGGCAGGCGGAGGGGTGAGCACGGGTTCACAACGTAACGTGCTCATCCGCTGAGCGGAACGGAGCGGAGCGCTGCCCGGGGCAGGCGGAGCGCCGCGGGCTGCCAGGCCCCACTCCTCCCGCCTCCCCCGCGCCGCCATCGCGCAGGCGCCGCCCGGCGGCGGGTGACGGTGAACGGGGGGGCGGTTTCCTTGGTAACGGCCGGGCCGGTAGCGGGCGGGCGGCCGCGGCCTCGCCGGAGCCTCGCCGGCCGCCGGAGCAGCGCTGGTCGCGGAGCGCGGGCCCGGCGGGGGATGGGGACCGCTCCCCTCCCGCCACCATGCTGCTGGGCAGGAAGCCGGAGGCGCCCCTCGGTGCAGGTGAGGCGGCCGCGGGGCCGGGCGGGGTGGGAGAGGGCTGCGGCGGCCGCCGGGCCCTCCCCGGTGCGGGGGTTCCGCCGGGAGCGATGCCTGGGGAAGGCCGGGTCAGGCCGCTCCCGCCGGGGCTTCTCCCGTTGGCAGAGCGCGATGCGGAGCCGGCAGCGTTAGAAGCTGCATTTCTCGGTTCTTGAACGGTGTTTGTCCGCAGTTACGGTGCAGACGAGCACATGAACGTTTTGTTTCACGCACGCACCCCCTGGCAGCAAACCTAACTGTAATTCCCACGTATCGCTTTCAATGGGTAACCTACTTTAAAGGATAGTCCGATCAAGTATTCAAGTTAGGCTCGTTTTCGGTTCTCCCTCTCCATGAGGCCAATTCGGGATTATCCTACTTAAGGTAAAATGGGGAGTGTGTCTGTTGGTGTTTATTAAAGATATATTTACAGTGCAAATGCTGATGTTTAAACAGGCTCTAAATTAAAAGAGTTGCAAATTAAGATTTTCCAAGAACTTTGCATTCTGTTGTGGTATTAAAACACAGTTAAATCCTAAATGTTGCTTATTAAATGAACAAGAACTGATGATTTTACAGCCTGAAATGTGCTGAGACACATTTCAGCTTTGTCTGTATAGCTGTGAATTGTTGTGACTAACTGGTTCGTGTGTGGGACGTTTGCAGCCAGGTTTGGAGATGGATTGTATGACTCCTACATGAGGATAGATCAAATTAGGTACCAAGAGGCTACAAATGAAGAACACAGCCCCTCAGGACTTCCTTCCCTGGCAAGAGCTAATGTGAGTATTTTAAAGCCGTCTGGGTCTTCACCTTGTGTTGTGGAAGTTAGAACTGTCAAGGGGTTAGATGTCTCCCTACAAAGAATAAATCTAAGTGGGATGTGCAGCTTTGTAGTAGCTTATTAACATGATTGCTTATCGCTTTTACTAAGCACAGAAATGATATTATGTTCAACACAGAGCTTGTTAGGCAGCCTTAGAAATCATCTTACTGTCCTCAGCCTGTTGTAATCAAGAAAGTTGCTTTCCAGAAGGCTGAAGCATTGTGCCATGTCACCTTGCATGTTGGTAAGTGTAAATCCACAGATGGGTTTTTTTTTACCTCTTACACGGTTCCATTTTAGCTTCCCTCATGAAAATGCAGGGAGATAAGTACTTGGGAACAGCAGGAGGAGCAGCGTGGGTTTGCATGGCTGCCAAAACGTCTTACAAAAGTATCTTTCTTCTCTGAAAACTTTGCCATTATCTGCTGCTTTGCTTGCTAGCAAAATAGGTCTTTATGGAGTGAAGGTGTTAACGTGCTTCTTCATAAGCATACTGTTTTCCTCAGCAGATGTGGAGTTACGAGATCTTTCCTTTCAGCTGAGCAGTCATGCTCATGTTTAGCTGTACAGTGATCTGACCTTTGTATGCTTTCTAAATGTGATCTGGCTCTTCTTGAATTCTGGCAGAAGTGAAGGAGCTCGAGCTTAAAAAAACCCACTTTCTAAGAAGTGAAAATAGATGCTTCACAGAGTAAGATGCATTTGATGATCATCACCTTGTGGGAATTTACTGTAGCAGATATTAATTAGCTTGGTCCATGCTGTTCACTGAGCAAACTCAGTAGCATGGGTTTGAGTTTTCCCTTTTTGGCAATATTGAGAGTAGAGGAAACATAGGTTTGTTGAGTAGTGGAGTTTGAAGAGCAGTGGGTGGTTTGGGGTTTTTTGCAGGGACATGGCAGTTTTTAAACTGCAGGTTTTAAGTCAGTGTAACTTGAGTTGTTCATAACCAAACAGAAAATGGAATGGAATTGTCCAGTTAAATACAAATATAACTCTATGAACATTGTGTTTCCCACGCTTCATCTGTATTTTGTCCATCAGGCCTGTTTACTTCTTAAAGCAAGATTAAGGATTATAAAGTGCTTAGTTTGGCCGTGATGACACATCAAAAAAATACAACCCCAGTGTTATCTTGTGAGCAAGAACTGAGGTGAAGTGTGCAGGAATGAACATCATGATGCTGTTTTAATGGGAAAATATCTGGAAAGAAGTGATATTTGTTTTCCTTCATGCACGATTTTGTTATTACAATGTAATGTTCCATGACAATTCGAGTGTTCTGATGTCTGCAGCTGTACATTCTTTTCATCTTTGCTATAAGAGAACACAAATATCTCTGCTTTGAGAATACACAGCTTAATTCAGTTTAATTCAGATACACTTGTGCAAAACCAGTTGTGTGGGAACTGGGTTGAATGTTTCTTTCTCACTTAAAATGCTTCTGTAAGTATGTGAATTTCTTGGCTGCGAATAGTGCTTTATCAATAAAACAAAACCTGTGCAGCCTGTGATTTGTAAAAAGAAGCTGTTGAAAGAAAGCTCGTGTTCCCCAGAAGTCATCTGACTTTGAGTGTAGCTCTTCGGAGTTCAAGTTAAGACTGATCTATATTTGTGTCGCATTGTCACGTGGCAAATGATTTTGGTCCTCTGAGGATGAAAATGGAGTTCTCGCTGCTTGAATGGCTGTTGAGTTGGATTTGAGATCCAAAGGTATAGTTTCTTCGTGAAGAAATAGTTGCAGGGTAAATGGAATTGTGAATCCCTCCCTTATTTAGGGATTCAGAGGTACCAAATGTTTGCTATGAACAGCAGCATTAGCAACAGCAGTTGCTGATGTAGTGCTGATTGCAAGGTCACTTCCCTGTTGCTACAACTGGTGATGGTTCAGAAAGTTAACACCGTGTTTTGGACATCTGCTACGGGACAGGCTTGTTTTGGTTTGTTTTTCCCCTTCTCTCCTGTCCCCTCCATGAAAACAAACAAGTGTGAACCTTATTCTGTGCTCATGTTTATCTCTGAAGTCCCCGTTGGAGTCTGCTGGACTAAGTAGTCTTTGAGGCAGTTCTGCACATGTCATTCTTATCTCACAGGTTCAGCCAGGCTCCAAGAAAAAGGTGTTTATTCGAAGCTACCAGGGTTGGGCTTTGTTTTTGAGTTTCAGGCTTTCTGGAAAGGCGTGTCCCTCCCAGTGCACTGTATTTTGGGGGTTGATAGGACCCAGAGTAGTGCAATTGGTAGGATATATCCGACAGCCTCTACTCGCCATTGATAAGGACTGACTTCTGCAGGAAATGCCATTTTTTGAAGGCTTGCAAGCAAGAGTTAACATTTCAAGGCAGCACCAACAAACAGACTCTTTAAGAGACGTGTGTAGTTGTTTTTGGCAAGAACATTCACTTCCCTTATTTACTGACTGTGCCGAGATGTTGGATTGTATGTAACTAAAAAGGAATTTGGTTTTATTGCTGTGGATCTGCAGGTTTATTTATATTTTTTTGCTCGATTCCTCTGTAGTTATTTTGGTTTTCAGGGCTTCGCTTTGGCATGTGCCTCAAGTCTTTATTTTTAGATTAAAGGCCAAAATGGAAAACAGATGTTGCTACTCTTAAGTCATGGCTTCTTCAGGGTTGCATGGGCTAAGACAACACCTCTCTGCTGCCGATCAGCATGGAGCATCTGTGAGTAGAAAAGGGGGATAACTGCTCTTCTAGTAAGGAATGGAGCTCCAGAGAGTTCAGCATTTACTAGATTGTAAAAATAACACTTCTGAATCATTTCTCAGTGCTTTTCTTGCCTTTTATATGTCCATTTCAGGTGTAAATAGCTTAATATATGGTGGTAAGAGGCAGTGGTTACAGACTACTGTTAACTAAGTTGGAGTAAGAGTTCTCAGTTGTTCAAAGTCTGTCTTAAGATACTTGTGTAGTTCTCATGATTTTGAAGGGAGTTGTGGATATGGTGGTATTTCCCCTTCACAGAAAACCCACTCATTCACTTTTAAATACGGTTCATCTTGCTCTTGTCACCCTTTTGCTCCTCACTCAGCCCATTCTACCAGCCTCATGTCACCTGCTCTCTCATTTCTTTGTCTCTTCTGGCACACTTGTCTCTGCAATATTCCTGTGCATTGATGTTACGTTGCATGTTTCAGACAGGTGCAGCTTGCATCTGTCCTTGGTTGTGTTTGCTGCACCCACAGTTAGAGCTAAACATAGCTGCTCCCCGGCTGTTTGCTGACTGCGAGCATGCTAGGAGAGATAGGTACTGTGTCCTTGTGGAGTGTCTGACTGTCCAGGGTTTACCCTTTATGGACTGAAAAGTACATTGGTGCTTGTTTTATTAAGCTGCATTCTCTGTGTACCCTTCTATAACTATGCTTGTAACTCAAGTAAGTTTAGGTCAGGCGTTTTATATTTGTTCCTAATAAAACATCAACAGATTTTGCATTTCTACGTGGTGTTGATTTTATTCTCAGTCTGTGCTTTAAATGGTAAAATAAAGCTTTTATTTTTTCTTTTCTCTCATCTGTAGGTTTCTAGCAACAAACTTGGGATGAAGGATCACTCTCTGACTGGAAGTCAGGTCAAAGTGGAGCAATTATTTGAGGACTCTGGGAACAGAAGGAGTAGCACTCTTCAGACTACGGGAATTACTAGTTCAGAAAGATCTCTTCCTTCCCTGACAAAAGATAAAAGTATAGAGAGCATAAGCACTTCTAAAGGTGGTGGTAGTTCCTCAAAAGCACATAAAGCCATTTCCCAAGCTCCAGAGCAAGCTGTCAAACAGTACAAACATCAGTTATCTGCTTATGAACAGCAGGAGATATTTAATTTTTCTGAGATCTACTTTGTGGGTCCAGCTGCAAAAAAGAGGCAAGGGGTAATTGGTGGGCCCAACAACGGAGGCTACGATGATGAACAAGGCAGCTACGTTCTTGTGCCCCACGACCATCTTGCTTACAGGTATGAAGTCCTCAAAATCATTGGCAAGGGCAGTTTTGGACAAGTTGCTAAAGTCTACGACCACAAACTCCACCAACACTTAGCCTTAAAGATGGTGCGCAATGAAAAGAGATTCCATCGCCAAGCAGCAGAAGAAATCCGGATTCTGGAGCATCTGAAGAAGCAGGATAAAACGGGCAGTATGAATGTTATCCACATGCTGGAAAGCTTCACCTTTCGGAACCACATCTGTATGACATTTGAACTCTTGAGTATGAACCTGTATGAGCTGATTAAAAGAAATAAGTTCCAGGGCTTCAGTATCCAACTGGTACGCAAGTTTGCTCACTCTATCCTGCAGTGTTTGGATGCCCTTTATAGAAACAAAATCATACACTGTGACTTGAAGCCAGAAAACATCCTCCTAAAACAGCAAGGGAGGAGTGGAATCAAGGTTATAGATTTTGGTTCCAGCTGTTTCGAGCACCAAAGAGTCTACACGTATATTCAGTCTCGATTTTATCGGGCACCAGAGGTAATTTTGGGAAGTCGCTATGGGATGCCTATAGATATGTGGAGTTTTGGCTGTATTCTGGTGGAGCTACTGACTGGATACCCTCTCTTTCCTGGAGAGGATGAGGGAGACCAACTGGCTTGTATGATGGAACTTCTTGGAATGCCACCTCAGAAGCTTTTGGATCAATCCAAGCGAGCCAAGAACTTCATCAGCTCTAAGGGTCATCCTCGCTACTGCACTGTGACTACACATGCAGACGGAAGAGTGACCCTTAACGGGAGTCGATCGCGCCGGGGTAAAGTCCGAGGTGCTCCAGGGAACAAAGACTGGGTGACAGCACTGAAAGGTTGTGATGATCCCTTGTTTATAGAGTTCTTGAAGGAATGTCTCAGCTGGGATCCTTCCACACGCATGACACCGGGTCAAGCTTTAAGGCACCCTTGGATTTGTAAACGAACGCCCAAACCACCCAGCAGTGACAAACCCTCCACTAAGAGGATTTCCAGCTACACAAGTTCTTTCACAGGAATAGGTTCCAAGTTGCCTCCTGTTGTTGGAGTAGCCAACAAGCTGAGGGCTAACTTAACCACTGACTCCAGTGGAGGTATACCTCTATGTACTGTGCTACCCAAACTGGTCAGCTAATGGAGAATGATGCATTTCCAGAATACATCCCTTGTATTTTAATTGTTAATAATGCATAAGGAAGTTAAATGCAGAGGTTTTTAATGGATTTACTTTTTATTAGAGGCTAAATCTCAACTACAAAAAGCTCCATCAAAATGTACACATTTTAAGGGCTAACTTTTATCCAGCTGTTTCACTCACAATGTGGTGCATGTATTATCTGACTGGGTGGGTCAGCTCAGCTATTGAGTAAAATGACAGTTTGGCAGACATGCCAATAATGCTGGGTTAGAAATCAAACTGGTTCTTACCAGGACGGTTTAACAGATTCTTTTGCTTATGACAGCAAGGAAAATGGATTTAAAATACATGTTTCAGTTCATCTCCAACTGACCTCTTTTTATTCTGGGGAGAGTTTTTACATCAGTTGTCAAAAGCACAAATGTGTTAATGTAATGCATTAGGAACTTGCAAATTGCTAACTTATGTTTAAAGAATTTAATTTCTCTGCATTGCTTTCCCCTTATCTACCCTGAGTGAGATTTTTAGAAGTGCCATGGGATGTAGACACCAAAGGAATTTGGTGTTGAAATTTTATCATCTGAACATTACTTTTCTTTCTCCAAAGGAGCTTAGAAACGCCCTGAAACAGAGGCTATATCTCAATCAAACTAACAGCTTCTGTGCAGTTGTTATTACCTTTAGAAGTCCATGGAAAGCTGGGAGGGGAATTCAAGATCAGGACTGATCCATTCCAAGTGTGTGCTGGTTTGTTCAGGGCTAATGAATGGATTCCATGTTGCTTTGGAGCTCAGATTTAGTCATTTTCAGCATCAGTTCTGCCTGGTGTGTGTGTTTGTTTGCCTGTGTTGTTCACAAAACAAAAACGATGAACTTAAAGAGCTCGTTTATTCACACCTTTGAGATTCTGGTCAGCTTAATGTCTAGTTTTTTCCCCTGTAGAGTGGATTCCTTTGGAGTACATGGAGCTCTTTTCATAAAAAGCAAACATGCCACCCCTATCAGACAGTACAAGTTTTAAGGCCCAGGACTGTAAACAGAAACTGGGAGTGGAGGGGCACACCTAATAACTGGAAGCATGCTCCGAAATCTAAGCATAATCTGTGGAATACCAGGAAAAGATTGAGAAGGTGCAAGAACTGGTGAATCCAAATCAAAATGCCCTATGGGAGGAGTTGCTTTATTTCTAATCTTACTCCTTCAGGTCCTTGAGAGAGAGATGTCTGTGTTTTCTCATTCTTGAAATCCGTGAGCTTGTGTTTCCTCTTCCTTTATCTTCCCAGAACATGAAAAGGTGGCGTGAGCTGTAATGACAACAGCACAACTTGTTCGGGTTGTTACTTCTTGCAGCCACATGGCCCGAGTCCATTTGCAAAACCATCTGATCTCTTGCCAGGTGCCTGCACAGAATTTTAAACACAATTCTGAGCTTTTTCTGAACAGCAGGTTTGCAATCGAGTGAGTTTCTGTGTAGCAGGTTTTTAGTGTTAAAACAAAGGGACTATCAGGGGCAATTTTAAGATAAGGTAACCGCATGTTCCATGCAAGACCCTTCCTCTGAGAAGATGGGGATGCATTTTCTCTTCTGCTCTAATTACAGCACTGGTGAAATGCTGGGTGGGGACCTGTATAAAACATCAGAAACAGAGCCAAAGCTCCAGACTTTCCAAGGCTGTTGTTTCACTGGAGATTCTCATGTACGTGGCTCTTCTGAGTTCCTTTGTTTTAGGAGTGTGAGGTCAATAAGCTTGGTAAGAATAGTAAAATAACAGTCTAACCTTCATCTGTGCAGCTACAAGTAATACCAGGGTTTATGGTATGTTCATGGCTCACTTCATAATAATACATGACTGGTATATTTTTATTTTGATGGGTTTAGTGAAGTTTTATCTGAATGGAGAATTGGGGAAGTGATTTGGGGGGAAGTGGCAGCAGATACCATTGATTTTAGCAGAATTGCTAATAGATGTGGCACGTTTTCAGAAGCCAGAAACATTCTTCATCCTCCTCTGCCCTTTATCTATGCATTTTTTTAACAGAATATACCTGGTGAGTGAGGAGAAAGAAACCTTTCAGGAGCAATAGCTTGTTAGGAAAGATGCATAGGAAAGCACTTTGTTTAGAGAGCATAAAGTAATGGTGGTGTCTGAGCCTGGCAGGAGGCAGTGGAGTGTTGGTGCACTGGGAGCTGTACTCTTAGGAACACAGAGCAGTATCGTGGCTCTAAACTGTTTTCCTCTCTAAAATGCCAAATGTAGAACTAATCATTCTCTTGTGACTTCTGGGAAGTAGTTGCTAGAGGGTAGCTTCTAACGTGGGAGCCTCTGGTGTACACACAGCAATCTCAAGGCTGTGCTGTAAAGCTGCAGCTGAAGTAATTAGCTGGCAAGAGCTAATTCCTTTTTATCTAGAGAATGTGTTCAGCATGACCTGACTGCACAGGGTGCCTGCTATGCGTTGTGTCTGTGTAAGACTAGATCTTCCTTACTGGGGACGACTGCATTTTAAAATGAAGAGCATAGTTAATTGTTTTGCTAATTTGGGGCTCTTGTCTACATAGCCATAGTAGGTGAGGAGGAAAAGGAAGCAGGCTCAGCAGTGTTTTACTGTGTTGAAAAGGATTTCTTCATCCTTTATATGAATATTCCACGGACTGTTTTGGTCTTGTTTCCAGTAACTAAGCCATTTCTTTATGAAATGATTGCTTTCAGTGAGTGGACACAGTATCCCAGTGCTGGGATAGTCCTCCACGTGAGCTAGTATGTCTCCTAGCTGGGACAGAGCTGAAGAATCATCCCTGCAAGCACCTAACTTGTGTTCCCTGTCAATTAGCACAGTTGCCCACATCCATGTGTGGAGGGTTGGACCATGGCCTGCATGGTTGGATGGTGTGGTTTCAAAAGTGATCTAAAACTCAACTGGTCTAAATAGATTACCAGAGCAGCTTTTGGGATTGGGGTCACTCTGCTTTGCAGGTTTGTTAACCTGCCAGCCATGGTGAGGTTCCACTGGAACTTCAGCTGTGTTCTGGGAAGTCAGCACAAAACAAATGCACATTTCCTTGGGTTTACAGCAAAGCAGCCATCACGTTTCTGTTTCAGACGTTCTTTACAACATTCCCAATGTTTACCACGCTGCTGTTGTCTTTGTGTTGTAAATGTTACGCTCTGTTTATTGTCTGCATTTCCAACTGTTTGGTTTAGCAATATATTGACCTAAACAAATGCCACTTTGAACATCCCACCTGACAGATACACTTTGCTTTTACACCGGGCTCCAAGTAGTTAATGCCTGTCCATGCAGGGAGAAACTTGGGTTTCACTGAGCTCGGTGGGACAGGGATGCCATTGTCTTCCCTGCAGAACACGGTGCTACAGGCACACCCCCTCCCCAGACTGCCTTTAGTTCTTTCAGGTTTGATCTTACCAACACCAGCTGCTGCACGTGAAGCTTGTTTTCCAACTGTGACCTGATCTAGGGATCTGTGTACAACAGATGCTCTTCGCTAGAGTTTTTTATCCCATTGTGCAGTGACCAGAGAATTCACAACAGACTTACTGGAAAGCTTTACAGAAGCTCTTCCCTGTGAGGGTGCTGAGGCGCTGGCACAGGGTGCCCAGAGAAGCTGTGGCTGCCCCATCCCTGGCAGTGCTCAAGGCCAGGTTGGACACAGGGGCTTGGAGCAAGCTGCTCCAGTGGAAGGGGTCCCTGCCTGTGGCAGAGGTTGGAGCTGGAGGAGCTTTGGGGTCCTTCCCAACCCGAACCAGGCTGGGATTCTGTGACTTTCGTGGAAGAGTGTGTTGCTCAGTGTGAAATTCCTTCCAATCCTTGTGCCCTGTTGGGACTTTGATGCAGCTGAAAACTTCGTAAGCAGCATTTTCTCAGCAGAGGTTCTTCACAACACCCGTCTGCTTTAAAACTACCTCCAGACTAAACGTGGGGTCCTTTTTAAAGGGATATTCACTGCAGACTACAGCTCTTTCTATTTTTCCTTGTCTAATACTAATAGCTGTTTTGGCTGTGGAACATACACGTGATGACCTCAGCAATGTCTTACTAATCCTAGCCAGACAAGCAAACGGCTGATTCTGCACCCGGCCATCCCTGCTGCAGTGTTGGCTCCAAATCCCACAGGCTGCTGTGGCAGTGGAAGCCAAAGTCCTGTGGGTCGCTCTGCGGCCCTTCCCTGCAGCACCCAGCTGAGATCCAAGCCACACTGTGCAGAAAGCCTTTGCTTCAGTGAGAAAGCCAGGAGCTTTGGCAGTCCTGGGGTAACAGTTGGACTTGATGGCCTTAAAGGGCTTTTCTAACTTAGTTGGTTCCATGTTGAGCACCCAGAGCTGTGGGTTCCTGGCAGTTCTGTAAACTGGGTTTATACTTGGAGCTTCTCACAGATACCACTTGATATTTCTTATGTTTTATTTTTATTGTTAACTTGATAAGGGTTTGGGGGGATGCATACACTTGGTTCTCCCCATACAAGAGCCCTTCTGCATTCTCCACTGATAGAGCTTTTTAACCCCCCTGGAACAGGTGAAACCCTGGGGCCATCAGAGCAGGTTTGGGTAGGTGAACGCTGTCCCTGCACTGAGGGACTCCACATGCAGTTCTTGCAGACGGGCTGACTGGCTCAGGAAGTCAGTGTTGCTAAAGACTAACCCCATCCAGAGAACTGTGCCTTATGATTTTACCAGCCTACATCTGTCTCGGTGCAATCAAATGACTATGCAGGGGTTCTTACACATTGCAGATGTTCACACCCAATGTCCATGTCTGAAGACTTTACAGGTTAGCCTGTTTATTATAAGTATTGTGATGAGGTGTAATATGGTGGGGACTGTAGGAAACATTTAAGGTGCATGTGACTATAACTCTGTGAAGGAACACTTTGGGAATAAGTCAGTCTCAAGCTATTGTATCTCAATGTAATGAACAGATATTTCCTCAAGTTGTATCCCGGTTCATTTTTAAAAGGAAAATAAAGACAGAATTTTCTTTAGCAAAGTCCTTGATTATGGTTTATTTAAGTGTTTGTTTCTCCCAGATGATGTAATTTGCCTTGGATTGTGTTGGGTGCCACGCTGCCTTGTGTGGCACCTGGCTGGAGATGCCTGGAACGATCTCAGGCTCTGTGTGAGGAGATGGTTTCAGTGTGTCTGTGCCAAACGTGAGGAATGCTCTGATCTGACAAATGCTCTTCTCCTCAGTGGGGCTGGAATTAGAACGCGGCGCAGCTTGGCCATGACATTCTTCAGTTGTCACTTTCTCATTGAGCCCACTGGAGAGCTTTTTAAAGCCCAGAATCCCGCTTATCCCTGGGCCAAAAGGAGAAATCCAGTAACAGCCACTTAAGGAAGATTTGCTTTTATTAGAAACCTATAAATGGGTAGCCTACAGTACCCGGGTGGATATTGGAATAGTTTGAAGATGAAATCATGCTGGAATAACCAGGTCTTTAGCTAGGACATATATGATCAAACGATGCATACATGAACTGAGATTTGAGGGGTGGGCAGCCAGCTGCAAAGTCATCACACAGGAGGGGTCATGCAAGTCATTGACACCAGAACTTCTCTGCTCTCAAAGCCATAAGCACAGAGTAAGTATGCCAAGCAAGCAGAGAGGGGTATTCCTTAGCCTGAGGCTGAATCTCTGAGACATGAGCTGTATATCCCTTGTATATCCCCTTCACCATTCCCTTCATTGCTGGTGCCCTGTGTGGAGCTCAGTGAGTAATGAGCCTTTGGCATGGTTTGGGCTTGATGCTGCCAGCTCCTCTGACATGGGATGGAAAGGGGATGGAGATGGGCAGACCCTCCAGGCTTGGGCTAATGAATACGCCCACAGAAATGGGCTTCCCACCTTTTCCTCCATGCGGAGAGGATTTAGATCCTGATTTCTTTAGATAGAGATAAGCGTGGAAAAAGCAGGGGTGGTTAAAGGCAATTTTGCCTTTTACAGCCTCCATGCAGGACCCTGGGCACTGGGGGGGGGGGGGGTG